AGAGATTTGCATCTCTTTTTTTTGTATTTAATTGACGTCTTACAATTTTAGTTTATTGGGTTTATTCTGGGGTTCCCCAATTCTTGTAATAAATGTTAAACCCTTTTACACTTGAATACATTTTAAACTTTAATTTAATTATTAATTAACACATGCAAATCATTTAATTTGCAAGTTAAATTTGAATTTTAACTTACTATTTTTTAAACTGTAATTAGTTTACATTGAATCAACATGCAAACTCATTAACAAAAAAATAAAAATATAACCTGTGCTTAAGAGACAAGATTAATATATTCAACACCTGAGTTTAGAGAATATCCTAATCTAACTATCCAGACTGGACCATTCCAACTTGTTTATATTATAAATGCACCATTTCCTGTAAAAAAGGTTCATGTTAGATGAATTTCAATCTTATAAAGAAACAAAAATGCAAGGTAATCCAGTATTATATTAATGGCAAACCGTTTAAGGTAGAAATTCCTTAGATACCTTCTAACCATTTTATTACTATGTACATATTTTTGTTGTTTGTCAAGCGGTAACCATTAAGTCATTAAGACTAAGATTTATTGACAAAGTGTCGAGTCGGTTAAATAGGCCGCCAGCCCTGTCGTATATCGACCCAAACGACGCATTCGCAAAGGTTCAAAGAGCAACGACATTCAGTGAGTTTCACTCGAGCATTAATTGCTATTAAATATGATAACAATAAAGTTGCGATAGTTAATATATATAAATATATATGTACATATCTGAGGCATTCTAAAGTAAATGTGCTAACAGCAATCATTGTTTGACTTGAAAAACAGGCCCACCAAAAACAGCTGTTTGACAAAAGAGAGTGAGAGATCAAGCATAGAGCAAGAGAGCAAGAGAGGAATAGAGAGAGAGGGATTTGCAAACAAAGGGAGAGCGAGAGTCAAAGTGAAGTTCTTTGAGTTATTTCCTCATCTTATTTTATTGTGTGCTCTTTGCTCTGATGACTTGCCATGTGCTTTGCTAGCGGCTGCTCTCTGAGCACGAAGCAGCGTCATTTTTATTATTAGTTATGACCTCATCATCGATTATTGCTTTAACTGTGTGTGTGTGTGTGTCTGTTTGTGTGTGTGTGTGTGTGTAAATGGAAACAAGTCGTCGGTGTAGTTGCCGAACAGCTGCAACCTGGTTGGGAACTGGCCAGGCGGCTGACTACCTGTAGCCAGGGCGCCATGAGTGTTGTGCAAAGAAATCTAACACACCTCTTGTTTTTTTGTAGAAGCGGCGTCTTTTTTTATACCCTTTGAAAATAATTATGCTTAATGATGGCATATTAAAGCTAATATTCTTAGTAAAAAGTACTACTAAATGTTAACTTGTCACCTTTTGTATCATTGAATAATTACGGAGACTTTAAGAGCTAGAGTTACTTTGTTTGTTATTTAATTATATACAAAAATATATTTATAAAAAAGTTCTATAAATAGAATAGTCTGCGCAGACTGACTGGAAAAAAATTCCATATTTGAATTTGAATTTGAAGATTGGAATCAGTGAACCAGCTAGTAATAGAAAATAAATCAGTATATAATAATCAGTTACTCTTAATAGTACTACAGGGTATTGCGGCGGCGGATATTTGATTCGCGTACAGTTGCCCGCAGATCAATCTTCATCCTACAGAAGGCGGACCAAAGCTCAACGCTATGTGACATGTGTAGTGGCATGTTGTTTTGCAGATTTGTATGCAAATATTTTGCTGACAGCGGTGTGTGCGTGTGTGTGTGTGTGTGCGCTTGTTTGTGCGCGTGTGTGTGACTTGTGAATTTACAAGCTGTTAAAGGCAAATGTATACTCAGCGATTTGTGTTCAGGCAAATATTTTGATGTTGTTGTTTTGTTTTGTTTTGCTCATCACGCCCCACTGTGTCTCTGGTATGGCTGGTATGATTTGCAGCATCAAACACACAATCGCCGTCATTTGCTGCCTCATCAGCGTCATTTAAAGTTCAATGTACAATGTACATTTGTCTCCCGCTTTATTGCATTCGGAAATTGTGGATTGCTCATATAAAAGGCACTCGCGCGTGGGTCAATGAAATTATTTTTTGCAGTCGCATTTTTTTATTTTCTCGCTCATATTATTATTTTTATTCGTTTGTAATAGAATCAATTTGGCACATGTCAACAGTTAATTTCATTGAAAGTTACAAATATTTATGAATTGCGTAGCACACTTAAAAAGTGCATTTATAGCGAATTAGTGACTAAATATAGTAGGGGTATAATAGGCATACATATATAAAATAGAATTCCCTAGGCGCAAACGCATATGAATTAAACTTTAACTAATTCGCTTTGTATCTTAAATACTAAAATTATTTTGGTCTTTGATTGCATAGCAACGGACAAATCATCAAATCTTTTTCCAGCATCTTAGTAGTTGTATATATTTCCAGTTTCCTTCTTCAACCTTCTATATCAAATCCGGAAACTCTTATACACTCTTATCTCTCTTAAATGGGGCAGAAATCAAAATTCTTCTGTCAAATTAATTTTAATTCAACTCTTTTTCTATCAGTTCAGTTGCATGTGTTCATTGTACAAAAGGATCCCACACACTGTTTATTTGTTGCTGTTCTTGGCAATGACATAATCCATCCGTCGGTTGCTGTTTCAGCCGCATTTGCAATTGAATTAGCCTAGTCATATATTTGAGGTTCTTTTCCCCTTTGCGTAGCAATGTCTAAGCATAGCTTATAGTATACATATATTTGGTTATCTTGTGTGGGCAGCGCTATAAGCAAACCAACAAGTTTGTTCTGCCTTAGAAATGTTGTGTGACACTTTTAAGCCAAGCCAACTCAACTTTGTGTTACAAATATTTCAAATATTACGCATCTTGAAAGTGTTGTTCAAATTACAGTTGCATTGCAATGTTTATCAGCTGGCGCCCTGTACATTTCTATATATAAATTTATATATTTATATATATAGAAGTAAATACATATTTTTTTCTAGTTATCATTTAATTTAATTTTTTATTACTTAGCGATTGAAAAGGTAGCTTTGACGTCAGCTTCTCCGGCTGCTGTCAATGACAACTGATAAGTCGGATTTTGCACAAAGATGGGCTGCGTAAAAAAATTCAACTAAAATCTAAAATCAGTTGCAAAACATATTTTGATTAGCTAGCATCAAAATTGAAACACGAAAATAAAATTAAAATCGTGTATACACAAATTTGCTTTCTATTTATTTACATACCAATAAGCAACTATAATTAAAAGTCTTATAACCAAGATGAAATTTAATTTTGTCACAAGAAAAGGAAACAAAGAAATATAATTTTTTACCTTGATTTCTTTGTTAATGAAATTGTTTTTATAACTTAAATTGGTTGATTGATGATTTGTGCCCATTTAACGAAAATATAAATTTATAATTGAACAATTAATATATACTTTGAATGTGTGTTAAAAGTTGAAAAGTGTAAAGATGAAATTCATCGCGAAATATTTTCCCAGCTCGAGTCGACTAAAAACGCATTTAATTTCAGCACTACAATATTAATAAAATAATTCGCAATATTTTAAATAAATTATTGCCTTTTTAGATTGCTGTTATGATGCAATTGCTGTTGTTTTCGTTGTTGCTGTTGTTTTTGTCGCTGTCTCGATGCCAATTGCTGGCAGGAAATGCGGAAGCAGACACAGATGCAATGGAAGAGGCTGCAACAGCAGCCACAACACAAATTACGTAAATCTTTTTGCGTTTAGTTTATCGTTTTTATACCCATTAAGTGTACATACACTTGGAAAAATAATCACTCAGAAAGTAAATTTCTAAAATGGAAGATTGTGGCATTCTAAAAACCTAGGTTTAAATTTCTTAATTTAAGGGTGGATTTTTCTAGAATTTCGAAAAAAATATATATTTTTAATTTCCATGGAAGTTAATTTCTACCTTTTAGAAGGGCATTTCTTAATAATGGGTTTGTCGAGCCTATCCAATTTCAAGAAAATAATTCATATATTTAGAAATTAATTCTACAAGAAAAGCATATAACTTTTAGGGTGATTTTCTGAATTTCAAATCAATTGTTTTTCTGAGTGTATTTTTGATATGTTCGTGTGTATAAACATGTTGATTTACTAGACTCTCCGACTAATAGAGCTATAAAGCAACCAATTGCAATATTTAATAACCGATTTCCGATTTGTAAAATAAGCATTTCAAGTCGGTTGCAATATACCTTGGCATAAAATTGAGTAACTGCAGAAATTGTATATAATTTTTATTTGTATATGTGATCAAATTTTAGGGTACATTTTGGATGAGCTCTAAATCTGTAGATCAGTCTGAATTATATTTAACATACCTTATATGTGTTGCATGATTTATCACGAGTCGTTTATGTTGAATGTTTGGTTTTTGTCTCGTTTTTCTGTTTATGGCCAAGTTCTCGTTTTGCCACTTAAATGATTCGCATATATATATTGAATATGAAGCGCTTTTGACTCGTTTTGGTGTTCTCAAAACATGGAACGTGCCTTGCATCCGATACCCATTAAAAACAAACTTAAAACCCCATCAGTTTTTTTTTTATACAACTTTCAACGTTGTTTACAATTGTGTTGAATATTGTTTATATTTGGCTTGATTTGCGTCCTTCGCTAGTTGATTGACATTGTATCATCTACAAATATGGAAAATATGATGAGACATTTTGGGGAAAACAGGTAGTATAATTATAGTATTTCCTGTATTTTAGTTTTTGTTTTTTTAATGATCAGGAATATATCCAAAACATATGGATATTATTTATGTTGTTTTCTTTAATGCCCTTATACAAAATTATGATCTAGTTATTATAAATCTTCTAATCATATTCATAAGTCTGAAAAAACGCTAAACTATTCATTTATTAATTAATTAAATATTATTGAATAACACAGTATAGTACTATTTTCACAACACTAACTAGATCTGCATATTTTCTCGTTTCTTTCGATACAGGGAGGTGCTGAACGCCTGGAGAGCTAAGGCGCGCTGCAATGTGGTGCCTGATGAGCGCACGGAGGAACTGTTTCACGAGCTAAGCTTTCATCCCAGCCAAAAGCAGAGTAAGTACTTAAAATACTTAAACTATAATATGTAAATATTAATGGATGGTTTGTCCTACACACAGTCAGCGAAATGCTGCAAACGGCGAAGAAAGTGGCCCGCAAGAGCCGAGGGCAAACAAATGGTTTGACATTTGGACAATTTTGTGTGCTTGCTGCAGATTTGAAGCGCTTTCGGTGAGTCTTTATTTGGATTATTCAACTTGTGACAGTTTAGTAATGAAATGCTTTTGTGTTGTAGCGCTTCAATAATATCGAATTCAATAAACTACTCTGACGTAAGGTACCCACAAGTCTCAAGCTCTCTCATGCATCATCAGCAGCAGGAGCAGCAGGACAATGCCAGCGAGGCGAACAGCTCGGATAAAATGCAAAACCTTTTTCAGGCTGGTAATGGCTTGCATTATAGTAAAAAATCCGAAAACTATGGCACCGAGCTGCGCAGTACAAAGTCCTTCAGTAGTGTCGATGACACAAAAAAGAAAAAGAATGTCAGCAATGAGCCGGTCGAGGTCTTTCTCGGTGGCTCCTGCAATCCAACCACATGGCGGGCGGATGTGGCCATACCCGCCCTTAAGGAACTGGGAATTTCATTCTATAATCCGGTAAGTCCGCAGTCCGCAAATATACACAGGAAATTCGCTTAACATCTTTTCTTTTCAAATCACTTTTGTATTTAAAATATTAGAAACATTTGAAATTGATTAGTTTTTTTTTTTATTTACACTGCATTGGCCAAAAGTGATAAGCAACTTAAAGTTTATTATTTAGATTTATTTAATTAATTAAAAAATAACGATTTTTTATTATAAATGAGAAAAGAATATATTTGTTTATGGTAAAATAAGAAAGGTGCAGACTAAATATTCGATATACTTATTTTTGCGGTGCACCGCTGCAGTTCTTCGATTTTTTTCATACAAACTTATTGTTTTCAAAATCTTGATCTTAAGTCCTGTATCGAAGCATCTGTGAGAATTTCCTATTTAATCTTTACGTAGCTCATTTAAATTTAAATTTTTATATATTTCTTTTATTTTATTTATTTTTTTTTAACAAAATGCACTCTAATCATCTTTAATAATCAAAATAACCACAATGAATAATTATTTAATCTGCAGCAAGTATCCGATTGGACGCCCGATCTCATCGAGCTCGAGCATCGAGCCAAGGAAAAGGCCCGTGTATTATTCTTTGTTATGGATTCGGAAACACGCGCATCTGCTGGTGCCATCGAGGCGGCACACATAGCGGGTCAAAACTGCAAGCAGCTAGTGTTGGTTTTGCATCCGTATAAACCAAATCAGAATATCCTCAATGAGCCTATTTCACATCAGTGAGTTTCCAATATCCAGTTAAAATTGTTTATATTTATAACAAATTGAATTACTTTCACAGAGAATACCTCGATTTAATTCGCAATCAGTTGATACTTAAGGAGCTGGTCTCCCGTCGCGGCCTGCCAGTGTTGGATAACATACCATCTGGTCTGCAGCGCACCAAGGATATTTTAGCCGGCATATGGGATCCACCGTCCAAAATATCGTCTATATTAAAGTAAGTAATGCAGCATTAATATGATGATAAATAGAGGGAATTTTAGATATCTTAATATGGGCTTCAAATATTTATTGCCTTAAAGCAACAGAATTTAAGGATATTTTCTTAATTCTTATATGTTGTAGTATATTTTCGTATATTGATATATCAGTCGTCAGTGTTTAGTCTGTTGTCTAATCTAATATTTGAGTCTGAATTTGGATAACATTTTGAAACTTCAAGAAGAAAAATTCGATATCAATTGTATATTAAAATAAATTAAAAAAACGTAAATTATTTAATTGTTATTAATATCTGCATTGTAAAATCGTAAATTACACACTAAGATTATAATGAAATTAGTTGCTTTATTGATTTATTGGCAATTGCATATCTCTAATGAAACTTTGTTGATTAATTAAAGAATTTTTATTTACTGAATTAGATAATTAGATATAATATATATTTATATGAATTCTATAGAAAACTATAAAGCATTGACTAACTCTGATTCCTGATTTTCTGATTTTGTTTTTGTTTGCAGTACGGTTCGCGGCGCATTTGACCGGGTCAATCCGCAAGGCGAACTACTCACTGTGGAACAGTGTAAACGTGCTCTCTTATTTTTAGGCTATGCTCAGAGTTTAGTTAATTTAAATAATCTAACTAAAATAATAATTAATCAACGCGAATCATTAAAATTGCTACATACGCAAAGTACAAAGGCTAGCAGCAAGCAGCTGGCCGAGGAGGAGGAGTTGCTGGATTCAACTCAGCAACAGCAGCAGCAGCAGCAGCAACCATCGCAGCAAAATTGCAACTCATCCACCATGCCAAACCATGAGCTCATCGATTTCGATCTATTCTGCGTCATATCAGCGTATCTCTCGGTGCTCCAGCAGGAGATACACGAGAGTGGCTGCATTTCCCCCATCAAAGGAACAAATGTGCCGCCGCCGCAGGTTTATTTTACAAATGGTGAGTCCTGTTGAATGTCTGAAGAGTTTTGACTTTAATGTTGGAATCAGATACTATAACATTTATATATATGTATAGCATGATTTTGGCTGTAGTGTGTAGCTTCATCTTTATATACGTAAAATAGTCTTTTTTGACGTAAATTTGTAATCATATTCAACAAATTAAATTTAGTATTAATCTAGATGTGTCGAGTTCGATATCGGTAACAAGCTGTCGCAAGTCTCTGCATGAGATGGCTAAACAGCATGTTATTAGCCTGATATGGGTTCCTGCTCACCAGGACATTGAAGGCAACTGCTAGGAAAGGAACTCTATTACCCATCCTCATGCCTCAAGCTACCTGCAAGCTCATTATCAACGAAGAGAGTAGACACAGGTCGAATGATGAATGGCGCAACGCAAACTGCACACTGGTTAGTCGGCATTCATGCCAATAGACTCCAGGTGCTGTATAATGACTTCTGCGGAAGCTGTAAAGAAGTGGAAGAAGTAGAATCTCCAGAACACTGCTTCTGCGTCTTGCCCAGCACTTGCCAGGACCCCAAACCTTGGGAAGTCACTCCCTACCTAGGTTATCAGAGCTAGCGAACATGAGACCGGCCAGCATTGCGAAATTTATAAATACTTCACAATCTCTGGTGAAATCTTTGAATCTTTGATTCTATGTTTTACATGAGTGTTGCATAAATCCAAACTAGATCCCATGTGGGATCACAACGGGCCAAAAATGGGCCGTATACATTGTGTATCAACCTTCAGGTTGATAACCGTTCTAAGCTCACATAATCTAGAGGTGAATCCATAGTTTGACATGGCTTTAAGTGAAGGATGTGTAATTTGTTCATGAGCACAATGGGGATACATTAATGTTTCTCAATATAGCTTTAAAACTGAACAATTAGTTGAGTGTAGAAAATAGTTGAAAATCAAAAGAAAACTATTTTGAGACCACGACTGATGCGGATGTTGAACAATAATATTTAGACATTAGATTCTTGGAAACAACAAGAATACTACTTCATTTTATAGCCTATATCTATTATTAGCATATATTTATTATAAATTATAATAATAGCATTTAAACGGCAGAAGAAAGAATCTTTGACTCCATAACATATAACTTTAGTGGGGATTTGGTTATACAATCAAAAATGTTTATACTCGCTGTGTGATTGTTTGAATTCATTTCGTTTATTAGAATAAATGCTAAAATCAAATCTATTCTAATTTTTTTACGACCATTTAATTCATAATATTTACTCAAAGAAGTCGTAGATATTTACAAGCCAACTTTTCCTGATTACTTACATTTTGTATATTCGATATTGCAGCTCCTGATGTGGACATTTACTTCTCGGCTAGCAAAAACATTTCGCGCACCTCAAGCAATGCCAGCGTGCCGTCGAACAGCAGCAGCGGCATTGGCCACGATTCGATGGAGCGTCCGAATCTGTTCGATCAGCTGAGTCGGAGTCGGGATAGTGGCACCTCATCGCCGCAGCCGCTGCCGCAGCCGAGCACGACGTCGTCGGCGGCCATGGGTATAGGTAAAAAGGCACAGCCACAGATACTGTTGAATGTGGAATCGATTGAGACAACCGAAATAATTACCACCAAAACAATAGAAACCAAACCGCATAATCTGCTGGGCGCTGTCAGTACGACAACGATGCCTCCCGCCTCCGCCGCCACTCCTGCGCAGGAGGAGGAGGAAAGCGACTCAAATGACTCGGTCTTCTCCAGCAGCAGCAGCATTGCCAGCGCCGGGGATGCACTGTACTGCTCTAGTCTGGAGCTGCGAGATGTTTATCTCGGCGGCAGCTGTGTGCTGCGCACCAAATGGCGACAACAGCTCGCCGCGCCCTATTTGCAGGCGAATGGCGTCAGCTTTCACAATCCAGCACTGCACGAGAGCATAAATCAACAGATGCCGCCGCAGGAGCAGAAGGACTCATCCCGGCCACAGGAGCAGCAACAGCAGCAGCAGCAACAGCAGTGCTCATTTGTGCGGACACGTCGAAAGTGTCGCGGCTCTCAGTTCCAGCTGGAGGAGCAGGAGGAGCTCACCGTTGCCGAGGAGTCGCTCAGCTGGTCACTGCCCCAAATGGTCATGCGTCAGACCCTCTACAATCCGGCTCTCCTCGAATCCAGTCGCGTCCTCCTCTTCGTCATCACCAATGAGACCCGTTCGCTGGCCCCAATGACCCTGGCCGCCCACTGCATTGGACTCATGTACAACGTGGTGCTGGCCGTGCAAATGCTGCCCGATGATTGTGTGCTCGGTGGTGAAAAGGTAGGTTTATCTAAAAATAGCATAAATATTTAAAATATGGTTATCTGGTAAGGATATCTAAAAACAGCATTGGTATAAAAATATATATATTTTATATAGATGGGAATGGGAAGAGTTTATTTTCCTAAAATGCAGCCCCACTTCTTAATTTTTGTGTCGAAAACTACAAATGATAATTTATTTTGCACTTTTTACGTAATTTACAAAAAATGAAGAGTTATTAGAACCGCCCTGAGGAGGTAATTTTCTTAAAATCCTACAAAACTTAATATCCTTCGAAGACTTTAAAATTTAAATTATTGAGCTGATTCAAATTAAGTCTTCTTTTTTTCGTATTCATAAAATGAAAAATTGTTGGTTGCTTATTTTATTTTTGAGATTATATAATTTTTGAGTTACTGTCCTATTATTTCATGATTCTAGCTATAGTTTAGTTTGCATATATGTAAAAACCACAACTACTAATTATCTACATCTACTATATCTTTTGGTCGATAAGTTAAAATTTCAAGCATGATGAGGTGATTGGAATTAATTCTGGATATTTTCATGGCATATATATAAAATTAAAATGTTTAGTCCTTTTAGTAAGCGATATTAAATTAATATTAAATAACAATATTATATATAAATATTCTATCAAGTTTTCTACAATTATTAATTAATCAATTATTCATTTTGAATCCTTTCAGCTGACCGTTGCGGCCATCAAGGATTACAATCGTGGGCGGTCGTATCTCATTGATTTGGCGAAGCGACAGGGTGTGCCCGTGTTTAATGACATCCAGGGGGCGCTCGAGTGCACTGTGGCCAAGGTGCAGGCGTATAATAATCGCGAGCGTTCTTAGAATATTCGTACCTGTTTCAGTTCCAGCACGTGACAATTTTAAGCTATATATTTAACAATCTAGTAAAATTTATGTTCGTTTTTAAAATTCTAACCATAACTATAACTATAACACTATACTATTTAAATCAAATTCGATGCTATGCAAAACTACTAAACTCTTTTTCTATGTGTAAAATCATGTTAATATATAAATTTATTTACATAAAATACTGTAAAAAAAATGTCGTCGCCCAGAAAGCGCATTTCAAACACAAACAACAACAACAAAAAGCATTCTGCTTTTTATGATAATTTATTATTTATTTAACATACCATAACTGTAAATGTCCATGTGCTAAATGAACAACTGTAAATATACAAAACAAAAAAAAAGAATCGATAAATTTAAGAAAATAATGCAAAAATATATTTCATATTTAGGCAACATTATACACAATATACACATACGTACATACTTAAACTACATACATATATACATTTAGTGGTGCCACTGTACCCAGCGAGCAGGCATAAACATCTCAATAAACAACTTTTTCTAACAAACCCAAATTAAGTTTATTTTACAGAATATACTTCAAATCAGCTGATAACATTCGATCAGCTGCAACTGAGAGAGCAATAAGTATTTTTCTCTGTTAACTAACATCTGCTTAACATAGACTTATTGGAGCCACACTATTGTGAATTACAGTTTTGCATACAAAAATCGCGTGCAAATATCGCTTGCACAAATATCGATATACTTTGTTCTAATTGCAGGCACTTTTATCGAACAGCTGTCAGATTTCACTCGCGATCAGCCGCTCACACTGAGACGCATGTAGTGTGTGACGTGACAAGTGATATGGGCCGACAAATATGGGGAGGGGTAAGAGCGTAATACTTTTACGCTCTCCACAAATATTGTGAAATTGTTGTGCTGAAATTTCTTTGACTAGACTAGATTTGATGAGCCGTTTAAAATGCCATTTCTCTCCCAATATTTGAATTGCTTGCTGTTGCTGCATTCTTAGCATTCCCCTCGTCATTCTCTGACCGAGTTGCGTTGGCGCTTTGATTTTAGTCGTCGCCCATCGCTCGCAATCGTCTGTGGTACGTATTCTGTGTGTGTGGTTTCTCCCCGTCCGTCTCTGTGCTTGTGCCTGTGCGTGTGTGTGTGTGCTTGTGTGTTTTGGGTTCAATCAACTTAATCAAGCTAACAACAGATCTGCGCTCATAAAAGTAATGCAGTGCGAAAAATAAACAAATAGATAATCCAAAAGTTGTTTTAGCGTTTAAAAAAATGTCTTAAAAATGTTTGATTTGTTGCAAAAAATACAAATACGTAACAACGACAGCGGCGCTGCTGCTGCATCTGTGTTTGTGACCAGCACACAGTAGAAAGAGGCAGCGAGCATGGTGCGAGTGATAACTGCACGACGCCGCCGCTCTCTTTTTCACTGTGTTTCTCTCTCTCGCGTGTACTTGTTGCTGTGTAAGCTCTAAAGACAACAGAAGCCGTAGTTGAGTTCAAGTGACGACGTCGTGTTCTCTCTCGCTCTCTCTCTCGCTGAGAACGTAAAGCGGGGACTAAAACAATAACAAAGCAAATATGCCGTTTGATTGATATAAATGAGAATATGCAGCAACAGTCGCAAGTGGAAAAAATCACTTTAATGTGCAAGTGTTCGCCGTTACGACTTTAATTGGTGCGCAGCAACAAAAACTACAAACACACACACACACATACATGCATATGTACAAAGCAAAAGTAATTTACTTTACAGAAGTGCAAAAAGAAAAAAAACTAAAATATTAATAACAAAATAAATAATAAATGTGACAGGTGTTAACTACAACTTGAGTGCAACAGAAACAATAAACAGAAACAAGAAAACAAAAAAAATCGAAGCATGTGATTCAGTTTAGGAATATAAGAAAACCAAACAAGTGTGAGATTTTCCGCTCTTCTTCGCTTTCATTCATGCGGTCAACAAGAGTCAACAGCCATAACAACAGTAAAAGCCCGCCACATAAAAAGCAACACCAACAGCAACAGCAAAAGCAATAGCAAAAACAAAAGTAATTGCGGCAAAGACAGCAACTTCCAATTCAGAGCTTTTAAGTAAGTTTCCATATAATACAGACATCTGTGCATGTATGTATGTGTGTGTGTGTGTGTGTATGCAGCTGCACTTATACGCACATCCATATATACAAATATATACATGTATATACATAACTCTCGGCGCATGTTTTTTGCCTATTTGCTAAACATTTTAGTTGTTCAACTTTTTGTTTAGGCTTTACTTAGCCTATTGACTCGTGTGTCGCAAGCAAATAGATCGATTAACAGGGGAAGATCTTACTAGAATATGTAAATAGATGGGAGGTTTAGTTAAAATGTTAATCACATGTTAATATAAATTGCGTTACAGTGTTGTAATTAGTATGTGCATTGTTGAGATGTAGGAGATGCTACCCCTTATATATAAAGTAAGCCTCACTCTGTTATCGAATGTAGAATTAATGATCTTATAGTACAAAAATAATTTAGAGATTTATCAATGAATTTTAAATAAATTAATGTTGATGTTGATTTTTTGAGAAAAGTCAGGATCATAATAGACACATCACTGTTTGTCGATTTACGCATTTCCATCAGTCGAGCTCTTTCGACTAGAGCATTCTTGATAAAGAATAATATTGTTTAAAAATGGTTCCATATTTCATAAATATTTTGAATACTGAAAGGATAAAGGTAGAAGATAAACAGATTTTTAATTGTATTATAACATATTAAGTTCGATACATTTATTTTTTCGATTACTATTGAATTCGAAATATATCCTAGACACTTTCAATTGAAATCTTTCCACCCAAGCAACTTTGAGTTTTACACCAAACTCTCAGTTCATATTCACAAATCGCCGTTCAGTTGAACCCAGAGAATCATTCAAACATATTTTAAATTTTCTTAGACTTATAATTCTGAAATAGTTTGTTCCTCAATAATCAAAAAATATAGTTTTACATATCCATTCGTTTAAACGAAATTCAAAAATGTGTTCACGCGATCCGGCCACCAATCAGCTAATCGATTATAAGAACAACGATGCCGAGTCGAAGAAGGAATGCACCACTTCGGGTGGAATGCCAATTGGAGTGAAGGATGCCATACAAACGGTGGGGCCGCGAGGACCTGCCCTCCTTCAGGACTTTATATTCCTAGATGAAATCTCGCATTTCGATTCGGAGCGAATACCCGAGCGAGTTGTCTATGCCAAGGGAGCTGGGGCTTTTGGTTACTTTGAGTGCACCCACGACATTACCAAGTTCTGTGCGGCTTCTGTGTTCGAGCGGATTAAGAAGCGAACAGCTGTTGCCATGCGCTTCTCTGTGGCCTGTGGCGAGAGTGGCTCGGCGGATACGGTGCGGGAACAGCGTGGCTTTGCCGTCAAATTCTATACGGAGGAGGGCATCTGGGATTTGGTGGGCTGCAATATGCCCGTGTTCTATGTGCGTGATCCTTCACTATTTCCAAGTTTGGTACACGCCCAGAAGCGCAATCCACAAACGCATCTCCGGGATCCGGACATGTTCTGGGACTTTATGTCACTACGGCCGGAGACGCTGCACGCACTGCTCATGTATTTCAGTGATCGCGGCACTCCGGATGGTCATCGGCATATGCATGGCTATGGCGGGCACGCATATCGCATGGTGAATCCCAGCGGGGAGACATTCTACGCCAAGTTTCACATGAAAACGGATCAGGGTATCAAGAATTTGGATGCACGCCGCTGCACTGAGCTGGCCGCCCATGATCCCGATTATGCCATACGAGATCTGTACAATGCCATCAAGAAGGGCAACTATCCAAGCTGGAGTGTCTTCATCCAGATCATGCTCAACGAGGAGGCCAAGAAGTGCAAATTTAATCCGTTCGATATAACCAAAGTGTGGCCACAAAAAGATTATCCCCTCTTACCGGTTGGCAAACTGGTCCTAGATCGCAATCCCACCAATTACTTTACAGAAATCGAGCAACTGGCCTTTAGCCCTGCCCACATGGTACCGGGCATCGAACCATCTCCGGATAAAATGCTCCAAGGTCGCCTTTTCGCCTATGGCGATTCGCAGCGCTATCGTCTCGGCACCAACTACATGCAAATCCCGGTGAATTGTCCATATCGGGTGAATGTGAGGAATTTTCAACGCGATGGCGCCATGACGGTCAATGATAATCAGAGCGGTTCACCCAATTATTTTCCCAACTCATTTTGTGGTCCCAAGGAGAGCTCAAGGGCTCTCGCCCTGCAGACCTGTTGTCCCGTTTCTGGCGATGTTTATCGCTATATGAGCGGCGATACGGAGGATAATTTCAGTCAGGTCACCAACTTTTGGACCTATAGCCTGGACAATTGTGGGCGCAAGCGAGTTGTCCGCAATATATCCGAGCATCTAACAAATGCCAGTAAATGCCTGCAGGAACGTGCCGTAAAGCTCTTCACCATGGTCCATGCCGACTTTGGGCGACTCATGACTGAAGCCTTGAATACCGCTGAAATATCCAAATTTTAATTGCTAGCATCTGTCAAATCGTGTCTTTTTGTTTTCAATTTGATTTTGTCTATTAAGTTTAACGATGATTATATGCATACATTTTAAATTTGTAGAGTAGAAAACAACAAAAAAAAAAAAAATACAAGAACAAAAGCAGACTACCATTGAATGATCATCGAGGTGCCTTTTATGTCTGCTGGTTGTAGCTCTAAGAATACGTGAGTGGCTTGCTCCATTTTCGTTGATAAAGTGGGCGCGGCTTTGAAATTGTTTTAGGTTATTAATAATCCACCTACCAAGTTTGGTTACTCTAATTCTAATATTGCGGGAGATAAAAGCTTCTTTTTAATAATTTTTTTAATGTGTTTTGGAGGGAGTTCCCACCAATAAACTTTTCAAATTTATTATTTATAGATTATTATTTGGGTGGGAGTTGCCCCGAAATATTAATGCAGGACGTCACCAGCTATTTATGTTCTAGTTTTGATAAGCCTTCGTTTATCGATTATATTTATCGATTTATTCAATTATGTGGGCGTGACCTTAAATAATTTATCGACCTTTAAAAGAGATTACTGATAATATTCCTTGGGAACTGTACAGTTATATATATATATATATATATATATATATATACATATGTAATTTCTTTCGACTTATGCGATTTCTTTAATATAATAAATAAAACCAAAGCAAAATTTGTATAATTGAATTGAGAGGGTTAAGTTTCATTTTAACTAGATCTGATATTTGGGACTAGGAATTTATCTACCATTTGGCTTTTGAATTCTTATGGCTAAGAAATAATAAACGGCTGATAACAATCAGGGCCCCCATATCACTAGCCGGGAATTTTGTTGTTCTTTCTACGAGCTGCCGCTTATGAAGATAGAACGAAAGCTTTTCTGTCATAGTCACATTTCCGGCGTTTATCTAGACGAGGCCGTCAATAAAGCTTCAAAGATTACGAATTTATATAATATATAAATAAATATATATATATATATATATATATATTTATATATATATACATATATATATACTTCTGGCTAGTAACGCTAAAATAAATAATATATATTTCAGTGTGGAGTGCGTCATAGAATAACCTGACTAATGAGTAGCTGAACTGGACAAGTAGAAGTACAGATAACATGACAAATTGTAGCAAAATCATAAATTATGAAGTGCCTGATGTTGTCTTAGTGTGTGTGTGTGTGTTGGATGGGGGAGGGGAGGGATTAGGAAAAGTCGTTGACATGTAACCAGAACTAATAAGAAGCAGCGATTCGTATTTTTATTCACATTGTTTTATGCCTAATATTTGGTTAGAGATCGGAAACCTATTATTATTATTAAAATAAAATTATTGAAAGCTTCGTACTTCGATTAGTATTACAGCTATCGTATTCAATTATCTGAATTAAATTGACCACTTATCGTAATCGTTCATTTACAGTTGTTAGGCATGCCTCGCACATGTTCGTAAATACTATGTGATAAGCACTTCTGCACTCGTTTATTATGAAGCACCCGCAAGATCTGACAATTGACGAGGAACAGCAGCTAATGGAGATCAAAAAAGTGGAGCAGGAGTTAAATGAGCCAGGTAAGTGATACATATAATAATATAAATTAATAATATTATGCACACTGTCCAAAATAAGGCATAATCTCATTTCAATCTTTATTATTTAGGAACGATAATTTTTGCAGGATCTTGAATTGCATTAATAGTTTTTGTATATTACGGACATTTTTTGGTTGAAATTATACATTTGTAATTTCAATGAGTGGTTCTCAAATTAAATACTTGTGTGTGTCAGAAAAACACAACTCTCATCCCTAAAAATCAGAAGAAAAAAATTGAGAACTAATTAATTAATTAAATTATCCGATTTCAGGGCTTTTTGATCATGGGTTGGTCTCTAGATCCATCCGACATTCAGAATTAAAGACGGGATTTTAGACCGTAATCCATGCAAATACACTATAAAACTGACTTATGGACAGATATATAATTTTAATCGCTGACATATTAATTAATTAATCAACTCTACAAATTGCATATAGATCACATGAGAAACACCCAAATGATCCAAAATGTTGTCATAGTCGAGCTCACTTGACTACAGCATTCTTACTTGATTTTCTTATCTTTTATTTGTTCATTCTAAGGTTAAGTGTAGTGAAGATTTTTTCATGTGATTGCATTCCACAATTGCACATTCTATCATAATTAAATTTTATATTGAGATTGTTAAAAACAATCTTGCATCTACAACGAGCGAAATATTAATAATAACTTTTGTTCAGAAGAGGTACTTTAAGTATTTTAAGTAAATAATTATAATTACAAAAATAAATACTTATATTCTTAAACCTTTTCTTATCTTTATACAGAATTAGTCAATGCAACAAAATGTCTCATTAAAAAGATCCCTCAAATTACTACTAAAAAAAAGTTAAGCATAGTCAAGAAAATAAGTAAATCATTAAATATAATATTCTTCAACATTCTATAACACAATTGGAAGCATAATTTAAGAGACACACTTTATGATAATTGCTGTGATAGCACTCAATTCAAAGTAAATTTGATTCCCACTGAAATGTTGAAGTCATTAACTCCATGGGTCGACAAAGTTCAGGCAAAGAATTCCACATAATCGCTTCCATGCACGTGGCACGTGACGGGCAGAATACGTTTTATTTTAAAGGTGCTCAAATTGCAATGTGCTGCTCAAATAGTTTATAAGTATGCTTGGGCTTTGTGTTATAAATAGTAGCGAGTTAGCCTTGATAAACCAGCTTGCGAATGAACGCTTGATAGGCCAAATGGGGAACAATAATTGTAAATGTTTATAATTTGCTTATTGATTAGCAAGAACTTGTTGTTGGCGAGCAGATTAAAAATTGATTAGTCGTGATATAAGCAACTATTTTCGAATGTAAAAAATACGTAAAGCAAAAGTTTTACAGAAATGCATATGAACAAAAACACAGTAAAACTAAATAAATAGCAAAAAAAAAAAAAAAAAAACACAAACAAAAAGCGCACAAAATAAAACGAAATAAAACGTAAGCGTAATGTTTAACTTAACCCCAAAGGGTTAAATATGCATACACAAGTTACTTAAGTACACACAAGTGACAAGAAAAAATAAAAAGTAAAACCAAGCACAGCTTGAGCTCAAGCCCCCAGACGTAGCCCAGCATTTAATTGTTGAATATTTATAACTGCCGCCTGACCAGACCCAGACGTCGACGGAACAGAGCCCCTGACTGGGCTGGTTCTCTAGTGTCACCTTAGCTCACGCTGACATGACAAAAACCATTTTCAGCTGAAACGCACTCGGACTCGCACTTACTTTGATTTTTAAGCTCTGCTCCAACAATTTAATGAACAAAGTATTATGCAAAAAAATAACTAAATAAAACCGTCCCATGCCCAGTTGTTGAGGCAATTGACTGACCCATGCTTAATATATTTTACACACGTGCATATATATAAATATATACTATACCTTTCTATATACAGACATATTTAGATGATATGTTTTGGTTTAACAATATTATATTCTAGGTCTCTTTAAAAATTGTTGGCTTTCATTATATTTATTGGACTGCTTAAATTTATAATTAATTTTTTTGCGTCTATCTAGATAGTATTTCCTAGCAGCTTGAATACAAAGAAACCTTCGAGATATCAACATCCAGAGTCATACATACTTTTTTCTGATTTCCGGTTTGGATATTCATTAATTTTCAAAAAGATAATTGAAACGCGATTGCGGCAATTTCATAAAAGTGTTCATACACACTTGCAACAATTTCCGATATGATTAAATGCCTCACAATCATATTTGTAGGATGTTTATAACAGATGTAAGATTTCAACATATTTATTATTATTGGGGTATATGCACTGTGACCTTTCGTGCCCCCTTCTGAGCTTATAGCTCTTCCATCAGCCCCAGTTCCTACACGAATACAAGAATCTGTGTAGGGTTGAGGGCTTCTATGTTTTTAGAGCTCAACGAATGCATCCCTAAAATATCTAGAATCTTTTCCTAGTAGAGGCGACACAATCTGCTAAGATGTGCTTTTAGGATTCTTCCTCGTTTTCACAAAACCGGCATAGTTCGCTACTATAAATACCAAGTTTAGATAGGTGATTTCTTAGTCTACAATGTTCTGTCAATAGACCGATAACAATCCTAAGTCTATTCTTCTGCTTGAATCGCTTATGATTATAACCACCCAAAAGATACGAGTATATAGATAAAATTAAATCTGTTAGAGTGTCAGAATCTGAATAATCAATGCAATTAAGGATAACAAGCAATTAGTATTTAATCATATTGCGCATAGTTATAAACTAGCAACCAAAATCAAGGGCTAACTCAATGCAACATTCATATACAAGCTTTATTATTTACGAAAGATTCAGTAATTTTTCAAATTTTTTATATGATTATTTACTTGTCGACCTAAAAAATGTTTTGTTCCGAAATATTTTATAAGTTGGAATCGCTATGCATGATTATTAAATTATATATATAAATATATGTGTATGTATAATATACATGTATAATCAATAATAATAATGCGTTTTTCTCTTATAAGTATATTTATAAGTAGTAAGTATAAGGAAAATATTTAACATAAACAACAAAAAGTATAAAACTAAAATGTCATCTTCAAGAAGTAAATTTCTACAAATATGTCAACAATTTTAATACCGCTCCGTAGAAATTATATTGACTTTGAAACATTTCTTTTCACTGGTTTTAACATTCTATTATTTATTTTTAAATAATTAGCAGTAGCTGATTTTTAATGATAAGTCCAAGACGTTCCATCACATATTTTCCCAATTTAACCATAGTTTCTTTCAGAATGTCTTCCATACTAAATGCATACAAATAAATGTATAAATGTACTTTAAAGATACAGATGATACTTTTTACATATACAGATGCACAGAATGCACTTAACAATGTGGACACATTTCATTTAAAATTGTCACCGCCTAATGAAGTGTAAATAGTCAATTGCAATCAAACTTCATGAACAATATCATCATTATTCATTATTATTATTACCAGTCGGCAATCATGAACGACAATTACAATGATTATGTTGTTCATGACGCTGATGACGAACAAC